GACAGCATGAAAAAAAAGGAGGGGTATTAGGGCGGACGGAGCGCAAGCTGGTATAAGAAAGCTTGCGGTGAACAGAAGCATCGCGCCATCGTCAATGAGTATCACTATACATAGAGAAGCGTTTTTTTAAAATATGTGTCTGAGTTGCCAACGGCGGCACAAGCAAAAACAAACAGTGAAGGGTGCATGGGAACATTGCAGGCGCGTGGGTCGCCGGATGGAGTAAAAAATAGCGAAGCGTTAAAAAAAAGACCGGGGGGGGGGGGGGGTACGCCACAACGATATAGTTCGGCACGATGGATATCATAGACGTAGAACCACGCTTACATGAGCAATAGTGAAGAACTTTGGGGCAACACAGCCTATACGAAAACATTATTGTTGTAGGCGCATTGCTTATAAATGTAGCATGCTTGTAATCAGCCAAGTCATTTCAAAAACACTGCTTTATTGTTAAATTCGAGGTTCTGGCTTACTAATGTATTAGGCTTGAAAAACAGCGCGTAGACAAAAAACGGGCTCAGTTTCCGGAAAAAAACGTTATTCTATTCCCAATCTATTCCGTGCAAAAGACGCTTAAGAACATTCCCATTCCATTTTTTCAAGTGCTGGCTCCATCCCATTCCGTTGTCGCGAAAATGTGGAATGATTCCGGAATCATCCCGATTCCAAAGCAGCAACTCCGCAACGCTGGTCCGGAGGCTGGCCCATTAGTTGAAACAAATCGCCAAACATGGCCATCACTGTCTGTGCATCACCCTTTATTAGTTGCTAATTAGTTTTAGGGAACCGAAGAGTGGTGGGTGGGTGCTCCACCTACTCATCTAGAGGAGGCGGGGGGAAGACACTAATTCTGCACCATACCTTCACTCAGTCTGACCTTTGACGTCATTTTTAATGCGCAAAGTTGTGCCTACGCCTGCAAAGTTATGCCTGCAAAGTTATGGACAATAGTGGGGACTGACAACACGTGGTGTTGCAATCACAGATCTCTCTACCTCACATATTTACCAATAAAAGCCGAGAATCAACGTCAGGCCTTTTTTAGAAGCACGTCATCACTTTTCCATTCTTTGCTGAGGTCAGGGGATGGGGCTGAGACTGCGCCCCTCGTTTCCTTAATAGAGAACGCTGCGCACGCTTATGCCCCCCCCCCCTCTTATTTTTCTATCGTTGGATACAACTTGGGAAGACGAGCGAATCGCGACTGCCGATCTTCCCACCACTACAGAAATGATCCCGTTTATGAACTCGGAAGTGTTCTTCAAAGGCGGACATCACCTCAGTCTTTAATGACGTCAGTCTGGAGTTCGCTCCACTTTGTGCAAGGCTTGTGTGTGTCCGTCATTGACGTGTGAATACCCCGCGGAATCTTCTAAAGTTATATGCGACTAATAAATATGCCAAGAAGCTATCTTTATTGAGAAGCATTTATTAGTGAACCACACGTATCTATCTATCTATCTATCTATCTATCTATCTATCTATCTATCTATCTATCTATCTATCTATCTATCTATCTATCTATCTATCTATCTATCTATCTATCTATCTATCTATCTATCTACTTCACTCGGATGAGCACCCAGATGTAAGTAGCTAGCTAGCTAGATATCTACGTCTGAGTGCTCTCGTTAAAAAAACCCACAACCGATATTTATGGTACTAGTTTTCTTCAGCGCAACGTAAAGCTTACCAGTCAGACCTTGTAATCACGGAATGGTAACGCAGAAAACACCATAGAACATTTATATTTAGATTTTTTTATTTGCAGCGATTATGCAGTCCTAAAAAGACATGCTGCAAACAGTGGATGTGATCGTGATAGCGATGATACGCCAGCAGTGTTGAAAAGTGCCGACCTAAGTACAATTACGCAATGTTGTGCTTGTCAAGCCTGCAGTCTCGTCACCACTGCTTTCTAGCGTGCTAAATTATTTTAGAAGAGCTACAGCATTTTCCAGGAGATTCTCATGCACGAACTTTCTTTCTGGCGTGCAAAGGTCATTTTTTCGACTTTGGCTAAGTTCAGCTGAGCCAATTCTTCGAAAACAAAACGCACGACATGCGGCCGTAGATAGACGTCTTCGCTATGTCAGTGCTAGACAACTTGAGTGATTTAGAGGAACAATTTAGAGGAACGATCAAGTAGCGCCAGAGTGGCATGTTTCGACAGACGACAGCGGTAGCGAAGGAATCCGACGGACCGCCACCACCAGCAGCACGCATGAAGCAATTCTCCACAGAGCAGTAGGTGGATGACATTTCGCGCCCGACGAGCCACTGTGAAAACGTCGCTTGGCCACAGGCGTGGCTGCGCACATGCACAACTGCACCCGTTTCTCTGCAGAGGCCACGAAAGCGGCGCCACTTTTCACGGTGTACTTCTTTTACCTTGTAAGCCGCATAGAAACAAACAAAAATGAAGAATAACATACATAATTGAAATTTAAGCGCTTATTTTGCGGCGCTTCAAATTATCACAGCCAAGTTCTTAGGATTTTCTAATTGTGTTTCATGGCCCAGGCGCTAAGGGTGCGAAACGCCGGTTTAGGTTACTTTTAAACGCGATTTGAATATACAAGTCCTACTCAGATCATGAAAGGTATGCTGTCACCTGTCACCATAACTCATGCCCTTTTCTCTTCCAGCGGAATATAATCATCTGTTCAGGCCAGTTGTGGGTCCCTTGAAAGCTTCCTTTACTTGAAGTAGACCAAAATTAGTACTGGATGTTAAGAGGCTTCACAAGTGTGACACAGATAACGCGAAAATACCCGTCGCGTACTTCGTCTAACCCTTTTCTCCAGATACGTGTGGTGAATACTCGTATACTAAGGGCCGTATGCGGCCATGCACCAAAGGATAGACAATATTTATCTTCACGGGAATGGCAAGAAAAGATATTGATCAATTATGTGCGAGAGTATTACGTGCCAGCGCTGGCTACCTGATGTTATGACACAGACGTCACATCATGTTATTGTCACTTGTATAGTCCACCACCCTTCACTGAAGTTGGTCCACGTAGCACTTGTCAGGGCTACCATCCTCGCAAGCACTAGCGCTGCATACCAGCTTACCACTTCTTGTGTTGCTAATACTGAGTTTGCCGTTGACACAGTTACTCAGCTGCAAACTGCTTATATAAAACATATGCCACTGTAAAGCTTATGTGTGTGCGTAGAACATTTGTGCACATCTTTAGCATAATTTCTTAACGTGTCGCTCAATAAACAATGCTCTCTAGTCACCTTCCATCCACTTGCTTCGCATGACATCGATTTTTATGGTACGTGGTGTCAGCCATTTTTTTTTTCTTCATTAGCCCAAGATTTGAGAGAACAGACAAACATAGAATACTAAAGGAAATGATTGCCTAATATACCTAAAAGCTTTACAGCTATTATTGCTTCTTTATATTAAGAATCATAAGAAAAATACACCGTATCACCTCGGTTTGTACGTACTTGGAGAGTTAAGACTTATTACATTGGTCACATAAGTTCCACGAAATCATTATTTCGAAAAAATTGTATATTATGAAGGCTGTGAACGACACGGTAATGTTATCCCCTTAGGACAAGCAGACATTCACATACTGTTTCATGCACGAACAATTTCAGGCTTCTTGCAAAGTTCAAGACCTAGACCCTTCAACATTATTTACAATTCTATTCAGCAAAACGCTTGAAAATGCGCAAAAGTGATAAAATACTTGAAGCCCCTTTAAATAAAATATATTTCGTAAATTTTTCATTATTCGTTACTCATCCGAAAATTTCCAGCCATTCCTTGTATGTGTGTGTGTGTATGTGTGTGTGTGTGTGTTTGTGTGTGTGTGTGTATGTGTGTGTGTGTGTGCGTGTGTGTGTGTGTGTGCTGAAACGAAACAAGAAGCCCTGAGGATCTCAGTAAACGTATGGGCAAGCGTGAGTGCTCTCTGAGAAATTCATTATGGACAACACACTATAGGCTTTTCATCACGTGCTGGCGTATGGTATATATTGCTTCTCCTCGGCTACTTCACTCAGTGGCTCTGTTGGAGTTGGGGTAGTCACGAGAAATGATACCGTATTCTGACTTCATGCTGCTGTATATTTTTAGACACGCCATGCTGAAATGGACTTTAAAGTTAAAATAAGACGTTTCTTCATTATTACTCAGGGCCGTCTCAGTATACAGAATAGTTTTATGACCAGCGTAAACTAAGCTTCGTGCCTTTCTGTACCCCCCTCTCTATAGGTTACTGTCAATTCAGTAAAATTTTCCTTTACGTGTGTACTTGTCAGAAGGGTCCCCTTAAAATGTGCGCACAATTTCTAAAGACGCACTTGATGCTTCTTCCGCTATATATACTTGCGCAACTGTATTCCTGCAAACAATGCCCACATCCGTGTTTGGGAGTCTTCGAAATTTGAGATTTTTCAAATTGTATATACTTGAACGCAGTGTTGTCCTATGTAAAAAGGCGTTGTGTTTATGGAATTTTGTGTGACGAATCAAATTTTAGCTTTCCTGTATTGCAGCAATAATGCAGTGCTGTTTAAGAAAGGTGCACGTAATGTTTACAATGCTGACTTCGTAAACATTGGCATGGAGTTCTAGCCGAAGGAAAAATCCAATCTCACTCGTTGCATTGAAAATTATTTGCATAGATACGGGCTTTACTAACAAAAGCTTGCACATCAAACCACGCTAAATGTAGGGAAAAACTGGTTGGTGTGAATATTATAATAGTTTATAGAAATAAGCAATAAACGGAAATTTTATTTTCTTTGGCAACTCAACGTTTATGGAAGCTGGATTATGAAGAAGTAACTTAAGTGTAAAAATAAAAACACGCTTAGAGGAAAAGTGCCTTTTTACCTTTTAACGAGATTGTTTTCGTAGCTTCAGTTTAAAACATTTCTAACTAAGAATTTCACGCATACATGGCATCTACAGTTACGACTCATAAAACGTTGTTGAAGTAAAATACCAAAGTGAATTGACAGATGCTGTTTGTGAAAATATTTTTATTGTTTGAAGTTACCTGTAGCATACCTTCGCCTTTTCCCCTTTTTTGGTACTTGCTTGCACGATGCTTGACAAATATGGGCGCTCCCATTTGAATACAAAAAATGTATTACATTGTCATTCTTCGGACTGGTTTCACTCGATGTTGTCTTGAGAAGTGTAACTTATTACTGCACGGACGTTCGAAGACTATGGCACAGGATAGACGATGCGAGCTGTATCGGGCAGATGAAAAATGGCGTTGGCGACCAGCGCACGCACCTAAGTGAAAAGAGAAAGAAATGGCTCGATTAAAAAGTGTTGAAGCAGGTTCATTCAAAATACCTGAATGAGATACAGCAGTCATTTTAATTTACTTCAAAGTAATACTATTTGAACTCACAGATATTGACCACAGAGATGTGAATAATGTAATCCGAGTCTATTTCATCGTACTGTTAGTAATAATAAAGTATAAAAAAGTGTTGCAAACTAATGTAGAATATTAACAATCTTTTGTACCGTTTATAGCGCCTGGTTTGGAGACATGTGTCATCTCGAGTTAATAATGGACGAGAACTCTCCTTACATACATTTAATAAAGAAAGTTAATAATGGGTAGCTGGAGGCAACGAACACCTAATTTCCTGTTGCTCGGCCACCATGACATTGCCGCATGCAGGAATGGATCTGGCAAGTTTTGTTCTCTATGGTACTTCGTTGGCATTTATTTTACAGCTGCTATGTTAACCACTTTGGCTTTCCCTTTAAAAACGGTTAAGCTTATGGGCTCCCAATAATGGTTTTGTATGCAACCCTGGTTCTAGGCTTACAAAGCGAAAAAAAATAGAAAAACCTTTTTTTGAATCTGGTGTAACGGCTCCGATGCTTGCTGTATAGCAGCGAGTTATTTCATTACGTTCATAAAATGTATATTTTAGCCTCTCAATTAGATGGCAAAGTTCACTAAAAACAACTTCTTTGCTTGTAACATGTCTTGGGACGTATTTACCTCTTGGTATACTAAATAAAAATGAAAGAATGTGGCCCCGTATCTGCATGTTTCAATGCAAATTTCGTCAAAAGATGATAGTGTTACGTGTGGAGGGAGTGAACAAAACGTTTATTTGATGTTTTGCGCGAGAAAATTGGTGAATTGTAGTTTGGAAGCACTGCGGTAGAGAGTCTCAATCAGGGCAGTGAAGGTGAACGAGCGCATCAAGGCATGTTTGACGCGAGTGCTATCTGGCAGTTGTCTTCGAAAACGAAGGAAGGTGAGCGCGCCCACTGAGAAAGATGTGTGCGTGTCTCGGAGGCGATAAGGTGTAGAAGGTGAAGTGACGGGCAGGTGCTACCACCATGCTGTCTTAGCAAAGCGTTGGAAACACTTGCCTTTTTGAGCATCGCGTTTCACTGTCAGCGCAGCGTGATAAACTCTACGGTCCTTAGAATTATTTATTTGTGCCTTCTAAGACAAACATACAAAATATTGGCGTGTTGTTATGGTGCCTCAGATATGCGCAATAATTGTATTTTAATTGGCAATCGTCAAGTACGAACGCTGAAACTTGAGCGATATTGGTGGGTGCTGTGGATGGGGTTGGCTGTTTAGGGTATCGCTTGGTGCCGTTTGGGCTATCGTTACGGCGAACAAACAGATAAATGTACAGCCAGACAGACATACAGACAACAAACCAAAACTTTTGCGTCGAAGTACTCCAAGAGAGGCTCGTCTTTAAAAATACTGTTAACGCGTACACTGAGCTGTTCTATCAAAATTAATGGTCGCAAGCACATGAGGACAAGTGTCTACGGCATCTTTACTTGCATAAACAGGCGAGAATGAAAAGAGTAAAAAAGTTTTCTTCATGCTCTTTGTTCAAATTATAATAAAGCTCGTCAAGCTTTGCAGTCGCATACTCACAGCCATCTATGAAAATCTTTCAGCCGACAACCACCTCCTTTCCAGAACTGTGGGACACGGAACCTGAACCAGCGGCTTCCTTGCCGTAGGCACTGCCATGGCTGGCTTGACCTTCACCACGGTTGAATCCCGAGCTCTCGCTCAGACCGAAGCTCTTGGAGTCTCCGTAGGACGAGCTTTGCCCGAAGACTTTCCTGTCCGAGCCGCCAACATTATAGGCAAAACTTCCTTGACCAGCTTCCTGCCCAGCCGCCTTGTCAGCGAAACCTCCAGCACTTTCGTATGCGGAACCAGAAGTAGCAGCCCCAGCGACGCCACCGAGGCCGCCTCCGTAGCCGCCGCCGACGCCACCTCCATAGCCTCCAGCAATCGCGCCACCAACTGGAACACCAACGCCGGGTCCGACACCACCACCGACCCCGGGGCCAACACCAATAGCTCCTCCAACAGGTCCTCCGACGGGTCCTCCGACTACTGCTCCACCAAGACCAGGGCCGACACCAACAGCGCCACCCATGGGACCTCCAACGGGACCTCCTACAGGCACTCCGCCAACTCCTTTACCTATCCCGGGACCGACGCCGACTCCAGCACCACCAACAGGCCCGACGGGTCCTCCGATGACACCTTTACCAATTCCAGGACCAACTCCTCCTCCATATCCTGGACCTACACCTCCTCCATAGCTAACGCCTCCTATTCCCAGCCCGGGACGAATACCTCCACCGTAGCCACCACCGTAGGAACCACCACCGTAGCCACCACGGTAGCCGCTGCTATAACCCCCTCCATAGCCAGCACCGCCAGCGCCGTAGCCAGCACCGTATCCTGAACCGTAGCCTGCTCCACGGAATCCTCCACCAATGCCTGGTCCATAGCCACAAGGGCATGGCGGGCAGCCACCGAGACCACCACCAAGCCCGCCGCCACTCAGGAAGAGCCCACGGCCTTCAATCTTCTCGTCACCTTCCTTCTTCTCATCATTAGTAGATCCTGCTACTGTTGTAGTTTCAGCTGGTTTCTCTTCGGCCGGCTTGTCTTCAGCGAGAACAAGGAGGCAGAGGGCAAGCAGGCTCGATAAAACTAGCTGGAAATCAGACAAAGCTCTGACTAGTACACTCGAGATCACGAGCGTTATAAGATTGCGGTTGTGTTTATGCAGATTACGTTGATCGTTTATTTCTCAAATATATTTCTGTTTTTTGTTCGTTTTACTTTTGACAAGTCGTCCACTGGAAGCCTCGATTCGACTTTTAGGAATGCTGTGAAGTCATGCAAACTGATGATACGAAATCGATTATGTAGAATTAAAAAACTATTATAATATACGGTGCATTGATGTCATAATATTTACCTTCACTGCAGCAAGAAATGTTTAAGTGGAGACTTATCAATCTTACAATCTCTTTTCCAAATATTTATTCATTTTCGTATGATAACATATTTGACACCTAATACTATGACAAGGTACATGATTAGTCACAGCATTAAAGAAAAGCTGCATCCAGCAAAAAGGGCTAACGAAATCATTGCTACCACGTCACAACCAGAGAAGCTACATGACAGCAAACAAGCCGGCTTATGTGCAAGCTGACTTCTTTGTGAGCGTCGTAGTTCTCTACACTTAACGTCGAGACCCTGTTGTGGAGCCCTTGCCTGGGCGTTTAATTGTGGCAAGAAACATTGAAGTGGCCAAAATGCAAAGATATCATAGCACAGGAAAACGATAATGTTTCAATTGAAGCTATATGCCGAAAGTCACACTCAAACCTTCACGAAAAAATACAAAATGGCGTCAGCATGCTTACAGTGGTCCTCATGGCTCTGGCACTTTTGGTGGACTGGTCACAGGCGCTGCCACGCCGCGCGCTGTTTTATATTCACGCGCCCCCTCTCTGGTCTCAAGGACCCGTAGGTGTTGGACAGGCAATCGTTGGCTTCCTTCTCGGAAGGCATTTCTCCAGATACACGTCTAGTTCCTTGTGCCTGACAATGAAGCGGCGCCGGCAATCGCCTTCGACGCAATGCCGGTTTACTCTCTCCGGTCAGAGGTTTCCCCGCAACCTTTCTCGCTCAACAGGCCCCAACTGTGCACAGACGCACAAACAGCGTTTCTTGCGCAACACACGTGTGCCAAGAGTCTGCCGTGGCCCCCACAGTTCCCATGCCATTGCTTGTAACACTAGTGCGTAGGTGATTATTTTCCCCAGCTACGAGTCAAGTTTGTATATAGACGCATTCGTGCTCACTCGTGACTCCGCGTTAACCTTGCGGGCATGCGCATTAGGTTGTGAGTGCCTAGAATTACCGACATCTCTTGGACAATTTATTAATGAGCCACTTCGGCTTTTCCTACATTGTCCCGTTGTTCCAGCTCCAGAAAGTGAAATGTACATGTGGCTAGACAGTAAAGGTACAATGATATTTTTTTATTGTTAAATAGTTGCATAAACGGAATGTGGAAGCATGGTTACAAGGTACTTAATATGTGAGGTGTGATTCCAACGTGTGCTGAATTATTTAAAGAAAAAAACTTGCGGAAGAACTTCCTAATGCAACGTAGGCTGAAGGCAGCAAGTGCGTTTTCAAAGAAAATAGGCATCGGCCAGTTATTTTGCAAGCTTATAAGTAATGACATATCTAGGTTTTGTAAGTCAACCGTTAAAACTTTATTTGAGGGATCGCATCATACATACGAGGGTTAATCCTTAATTTCTGAAGTAGCCGTATGCCTTTCTGAGACTCTATAGATGGCCGCGAAAATTGTTAAAAGTTTTTGCAGAAGACACTCGAAGTCTTCTTCTCTTTGTCCTGCATAGATATGTGCGGACATGAAATTATTTTTTATTTCAGAATGACCAGCCTTACTTGTAAAACATAGCTACCGGGTGGCGTCTCGTTCAGTGCAGCCATATAACGGCCAAAAATTTGTCAACAGCCTTTTTATTACTCTAATGTTTAGTCCGTGAATAACGAGTTACAGAACGCATTCAAGAGCATACAAAACTAGAGGGATAGCTAACTGTTTCCCAGCAAAGTCCTTCCAAACAATCTGTGCAAACACAATTAACTAACTACTTTTCACTGCATTTTCCTGTTTTTACCTCACGTAACGGCGCCATAACGGCTTATAATGTCACGTCACAAGCCCCCCAAAGCCCGCCTACAGAAATGTAACTTGACAAAGTGGCTGACTAGGCTACAGAAAGTAACTACAGAAATGGCTGTAGAAAAAATGATATTTTGTTGTTTTTTCTGTGGAAACACAAATTAGCATATTCACAAAAAGCAGCAGATTAAAAAACAGTTCTTATCAAAAGTACTGATCATATCAAATTCTATACAGCGGGCGTTGATTGAATGATTTTGCTGACTCAACAAAGTCATTTTCCATAACCTGTAATATTAAAAACATTCGTTTTATCTTGAGGCAACGTGGAATGCCACATTTACAAGAACTTGTGGAACTATTTGCTCTGCATGCTATTTTCGCAGTGAGCCCTCTCGTTTGTTACCAGTGGGAAATACTCAACGCCGTCTTTCCTTACTTGGACTTTGAGCTCTTTTGAAGGAAGCTTTTTAGTCCCTTATAGGTAGAGCATTGTAAACTAGATAGTCGACCGTTTTAACGGGCGAGGAAGAAACTTCTCGGTCGCTTTCGAACTTCGTATGGTTTACAGGGGCCCTTTCATAGAAGACTAATAGGTTAGTGTCAACAGGTAATGGAAATTTTAGCGCGTAATGATCACTTCCCATAGTGAAGGATGGGATAGAATGAAAATAAGTATTGATCAACATTTCCGTCTCATTCAGTTGCAATGCAGTTTATCACGTTTTGTTAAAGCTGCGTAACTGTATTGAAGATTTTCCTTGGTGCTCGTGGTCATTAAAAACTTAGCACACTACATTTATTGTTCAATAGTTCAATACCCAAAGTTGTAACACTAAAATGCAGCCACAGATGAGCTAGGCAGCTTTTCACCGACTGTGCCCTTACGCAGAGTACTTAGGGTAGTGAACAAACACAACTAATTTTGTCACTTTGTTCTGTTTTCGCAGTGAGCCCTCTCCTTTGTTACCAGCGGGAAATACTCAACGCCGTCTTTCCTTACTTGGACTTTGAGCTCTTTTGAAGGAAGCTTTTTAGTCCCTTATAGGCAGAGCATTGTAAACTAGATAGCCGACCCTTTTAACGGGCGAGGAAGAAACTTCTCGGTCGCTTTCGAACTTCGTATGGTTTACAGGGGCCCTTTCATAGAAGACTAATAGGTTAGTGTCAACAGGTAATGGAAATTTTAGCGCGTAATGATCACTTCCCATATTGAAGGATGGGATAGAATGAAAATAAGTATTGATCAACATTTTCGTCTCATTCAGTTGCAATGCAGTTTATCACGTTTTGTGAAAGCTGCGTAACTGTATTGAAGATTTTTCTTGGTGCTCGTGGTCATTAAAAACTTAGCACACTACATTTATTGTTCAATAGGTCAATACCCAAAGTTGTAACACTAAAATGCAGCCACAGATGAGCTAGGCAGCTTTTCACCGACTGTGCCCTTACGCAGAGTACTTAGGGTAGTGAACAAACACAATTAATTTTGTCACTTTACCAAAGTAACCAAGGAATGCACTCTTTAGCGCTGTAGACGCGATTACGTAACAAAGATTCGTGCATGAAGCAAGTGTCTAATCTTTCGTTTATATAATTCGCGTACTATTCAAATAAGCATAAATGAACAGCCTCGTACTATCACGCATTCCGTAACAGCTGTTAAAACGTGAGAAGGACTTATATTATAAATTATCAACCATGGTAATTAACATAAATTTGGAAATGTTGGCATCCTATTTCAGCCTCTGACACACGAGAGGCAGACCAAGTGACAGCTAACAAATAAAGCTGCCTAATTTCGTGAGTTTCGTTTGCAGATAAGTGAGCTTATATACGTGGGGATGGCTAAATTTCAGCGCAACCGCATCGGTCTGAAGTTAAGTAAAACCATAGGATTACGAGAATGTTTTTTTCTTCGGAGCCATTCGCAGCTTGAGATTGAGATGCTTTATCTTCACATTCGTTATCTGTCTAATAGGAAACATACAATTATATGTTATAATGCCTCGCAAAGTTTCTCGAAAATCTGGTAAAGTACATCAAATGCTTTTTTATGCGTACAAAAATATTTAGTATTTGAAGAAGCCTGTGAATGAATCAATTCACTAATGTTGTCTTCTGTGGTGTATTGCACGTGCGAACGACAGCTGTGACGTCTACATTACCTAATGCAGCCCGTATTAGTCAAAGACTGGTAGCTGGCAGAAAAACAACTCCGAGTCTTCCAGTTATCGTAACTGTCATGCGGCCATCAATAATCGTGCGAGTGGAATATGTTGCGAGAGCCCCCATGGCTGCTTGCAGGAGCTGCAGTATACCGGGTGCAATAGACGGACGGGAAAACATATGACACCAGATGAAGCTGCTACACAAAAAAGACAGTCCGCTTACGCAGCATGCAAATAGCTCACATTCTAGTTTTCCTGACAAGGCGTGGAGAGTTCCGGCACGTAATAGCTTTCGTCCATGCCTTCATGAAGCGTCTTTCGTTTAGGGCACGAAAGATCCAACTGACTCTCAAAACTGCCAGAGGCTAACAAGTATCACCACCGGTTTAATCGAAGGCGCAAGAGAAAAGAACAATTAAAGGATGGTTCAGTGTTGAGACGATTACACTTTTATATTCTCCCGAATGTCACAGAGGAAGGCCGAACTAGTAGCTAGAAAAGCTACACAAAAAGCTTTATGTTCATATTTAATACTCGCACTTGCTGGTGTGGGACTAGGAAAGTTTCTAAGATTGGTTTTACGTATTTTCAGATTCTAAGATAAGAGATGTATGCCTTTCATTGCTACCTGAACAAAAGTCGAATAGTGGGCTAGGTGGTAGAACAGTCCTTAATATCCTGTATTGAACTGTCCATCTCACTCGGTAATTGCCTAATGTTGAAGATGACAAAATTTGCTTTCTTTACACACTGCTGTACTTATCGCATAATCTGACAAAGCGTACAAAAAACATAATTATTTTCCTGAGCATCCAATAACAGAAATCTTCAAAAACACTCCGAAATTATGTACTTATGTTGCTGTATGCGCATTGTGCAAGTGTGTGACTTCATTGCGGTGGCATGTATGAATGGCATTGTTCTCGTCCCACTAGTGTTGAACAAAAAAAAGCGCATTTATCATGAGCCCATTGGGAGCAAAGGCAATAATGAACTAATGGAGAAAACCAAGGAGGAATGATTACTGGAGCATTATTGTATCCCAGTAAACTGATGAAAGTCAAGAAACTCCTGTCACGTATTGTCACATCTATGCCACTTTCTAAACTCTTCTGAGATGAATTAGGCTGCAAAGTTAGCCAATGGCGCGTAAATTCCTTCGTTAATTGTGACAAAGTATTTGCTTAATCGAAACAGATATATCACCACCATTAACCTTTTGAAAGTGTTCTTCGCTGGGACGGTATGTCATTCAGTGTCACTATGGTGTATTGTACATCACTTAAATTTTCATGGCAAAAAACAATACTGTCCGGATCGAACAAACAGACTACTCATACGTAGACTAAATGTACGTTGATTTCAACCAAATTTCGTAGTTTGTAAACTTTTGATTCGTAAATCATGTCTACGGTTGACTGCCACCCTTTTCATCTAACCCTAATTACCGCAGCATTGTTTCGCACCTGCCAGCACTTATTGTTTCAAACACCTCAAAATATCTGTGTAAATCTTCCTTTACCTTGATTCACCTTTTTTTTCCATTTGCTTATTTCCCATCAGCGTCTCACAAAGAACTCTCTGCAAGCAAGTTATTTTCGCAATCCGTGCATACGTTACCATGACAGTACAGCTTCCATGTTCGTGTTTCGTAATTCTTTGCGGGAAAAGAACGCGTGGGATGTCATTGTGAAGATAATTGCTCCTCTAATGCCTCCGAATTGAAAAAGG